TGCCAGACTTCTCGTGTTCAACCGGTCATATATTTCAATGATGCCATTTTATTATTCGAGATTTTGCATTCAATATTTGTAAGTGTATTCAATTAAATTTTGTTTTTAGATACACTATACACATATTCACTTAATTAATAATGTAGTTAAAGTAAAATTTTAAGAACATTTCAGTAAAATTTCTTTTCGGTTGATAATTCTTAATTTATTTTCAGTAGTTTCTTGATTTTTTTCCGCCATAATGTATACTTCGTTTTTAGAATAAAAAAGCAGCGTTGTCAACTTAGTCCTTTAGTACTGTTTTTATTGCTTTTAAAAATTATCGACGCAAAAAAATTCGAGTTAGTGTCTAGTGCTTTTTTTAGTGCGTTTCAAAAACTTTGGTGGTACTAAATTTAACATCGAAACAGTAAATTTTATAATTTTTTTCAAGAAAATTATGAAATATTTTAAAAATCATAATGTTTATATTCTTTACATTCGTGATAAGGTTAATAATTTATAATTTTCCGACCCTATAAAGTATATTCCAAATCCTTATAGATAGCAAAGTCGATTAAGCTATGTCCGTCTGTCTGTATGTATGCTTGTTGAAATACATTTTCTGAAGACCCCAAATATCTTCGGGACCCAAATCTTCAACAATTCAGCCAGAAATGCTTTTTTGGTACAACAACACACATAATCATACGATAAATTTTGTTCTTTGTACTTTCTTGTTTATAGAAACAAAGCAAAGAAAGAACAACACGCTACGAATGAAAAAGCAGTGTGTTGTCATTGCTTAACGTACGAGAAGTCTAATGAAAAAGTAAAATGAAATTCTATCCGTAAGACAAAACAGAGAATAAAAGTATGATTTATACTTTTTATGTTTACACAATTGGTATAAAACAATAACAAAGTAAGATGGAAACAGCAGTTTCACTTTTTTATATGTGTTTACATAAAAATACATCCCTGATCTAATGCAACTTGCTTGTTTTTTGAATCATTTCATCAACTTTTATATATTTATTGAGCAATATAATTTTAATATTTATTGTCTGATGTGAAATTCTGATGATCTTTCATTGTTACTGTGAGCATGTTGCGTTATCGTCTTGTATAATGTCTTCAATGTTTATTAAAATAATACATATAGTTTTAAGTTTATACAAATAAATTTTCCATCCGTAGATGGAAAATTTGATAGTCGTATTAAGTTAGTGCCGGTCCACAAACGAAGTTAGTGCCGGTCCACAAACGAAAACTTTAGTTGATAAACTCTTTCTTAATTCTCTTTTAAAATTTCCGTAATGTCTACACATAAAAATATTTGTTTCAGAAACTACGTGTTTATTGCATTGATTTGTTTTTGTACGAATGAGAAGAATAACAAAACAAAACGAGTTTCCGAGTACGAGATGAATGATATTTCTTTCTCTCTCACGCAAAATCAAAAGTTCCCCAGAAGTAGTTTCCTAGTGTGGACCGGAAGTTATAACACATAAAGGGGACTTTTTGTTACATTTTCGTTGTACAAAAGTTGCTTTTTAAATTTTAAATAATATTGAACCTAGAAATATCAAATTACGAATGCCGGGCCCGGATTAAGTGAGAATCTATAAAAGGGGGCTTTTTGTTCTTCAAAAGGTACCTTTTGAATTTTCTATAATATTAAATCGAGAAACATAAAATTAAGCATCTAACTATTTTTATCCCCAAAAATCCCCAAGTACACAAAAAATCCTATTTTTAAACCCACCATCGTCAAATTAATATATTTTGATTCCTTATTAGATACTTAGACGATGCCATGATCCATACATCTATTTGTTGAAAGCGCGATAAGATCCATACGGTATGTGCTGAAAGGAAATTTTACATAAATATTTGGTATTGTTTAGCAGTGAAATGGAAGAATATCAGTCCAAGGTTCAAGTATCATAAAAATTCAAGGCAATTAATGAGACAGAATATTTCAATAGGATTCATCAAATTATCTTGAACATTACGACCTTTTGTTTGATAACAAGGTTTAGAAACATCAGCCTACTATAGGGGTATATGTTTTTAAATTTATTTTTTTTTTTAATTGCCACAATTACCAGAAATATTGCATTATTTTCAGGACTTCGGAACTAGTTCCACAGGGTATACAGAGGCGTCACGACCAAAAAACTATTTCCCTCTCTTTCGCACAAAACGAATTCAATAATTTTTTTTAGCTGTAGTTTATATACCTCTTCTCACCAAACAATTTCAAAATCAAACAAAAGCTGATTTTAGACTTTTTTAAATGTCAAAAGTGACACCTCTGTATACTTTGTGCTAGTTCCTTGAAATCATTTTAGAGTTGTTCGTACTATAGACCCAGTAATTCTTATTAGAAAACTTACTTAAAAGTCGACTTTTCGACTTTCTGCATTTTATGAAAAGTCGATTTTTCGACATTTTTATATAATTAAAAGTCGACTTTTAGACTTTTCGACCAGTAGTATTTTATAAATAGTCGACTTTTTTCGACTTTTTCCGACCTTTCGACTTCTTCGATTATTCGAAAGTCGATTTATAGAACCCTAGTTAAAAGGTAAACAAAAGATAATCTAAACACGATATTTTAGAATTGTCATACATAATTTAATATTTTAATGTATTTTACAATTTCCTGTAAGGAAATTTATTTCTTTATTGATTTTAATTTCAACAAATTTTTGTTAAACCTGTTCCAAGAGGTTATTTTGAAAATAAGACAGAGCTGTTAAATTTCCTTTGTACTACTATTTTTGTTTCAAGTATGAAGAAAATTATTTTTTTTTTTTGTGTTTTTTCTACCTTTAAATTTTTATATTTCGTGTTTCGACTTTCTGTGTTACGATATATGTTTCGGTTGCGAATATTTATTTCTTTTCAGAAAATATCGAAAAGTCGGAAAAGTCAGAGTCGAAAAAGTGAAAAAATACGGATGGAAAATTTGACAGTCGTGTGGCTCTCTTCATTTCTTGAAATGATTCAAAAACAATCAAGTCGCATTAGATCAGGGATGTACTTTTATGTAAACACATACAAAAAAAGTGAAACAGCTGTTTCCATCAGAGTCTGTTATAGAAACCTGTCTCTATATAAGTTTTTTCTGCAGAAAATGGACATTATTATAGTAGTTTTCACTATTTTAATATTAGCACAATATTGTTTGGTAACTCTCTTCAATTTGCCATAAGAATTTAAAATAATGGCAACTCCGTTAAAATTGGTGAAATTATTTTCTGAAATACATGTGCGATTCCAATCTTTATCACCGGCTACGACTATGCCGGCTTAAGTTTTGAGTCGAAAGAAGTCGACGGCGGTGCGGCTTGCAAAATATTACCGGCGGCCAGCCGACGCCGTTTTGAACCATCTCGGCTTGTATCTCTGGTATCCATCTTACTTTGTATCAAGGCGAATTCAGATAAGGTGGTGGCAGTTCTGCAACAACAACATTTTACATGTATTTTGTTTTTGCATTTGGTTTAAGTAAAACTTAATTTTTTGTGAAAAATGAATATAAAAAAGTACATATTATATATAACGAATGAATGAATCTTTGTTGCGAATGGATAATTCTACTCCGGCGGAGTAATTTTCAGTATTTGTCCATAATGTAGCAGACGCCGGCCGGGTAAATACCTCATATGGGTTTTGTTATATAAAGCGTTCCGGAACAGACTTTTTTAGTTAATCACTTTATCTACATAGTGTATATATAAATAATATTGTTTAATTTGTTAACATTTAATAGATTTCAAAATTAAGCCATATGTAAAAGTAGCTGCCGCTGTTCGGCTAAATTCTTCATATGTGTTTCTTTATATAAAGTGTTCCGGAAGAGATTTTTTTAGTTAATCACGTTATCTACACAATGTTAATATAAAATATAAAACAATATTGTTTAATATGTTAACATTTAATAGAAAAAAATATTTTTCCTAAATAACATATTTGTATACATAACAATTATGCCATTATTTAAATAAAATGATATTTGTTTACGAGATGCTTGGTATTTTTAGATTTTTTACATAAATAATTTAAAATATTAACGAAGTTTTTCTCCGTTTAACGGAAATTTTTAAATATAAGAATGTAAACAATAACAAACTTTGACAGCTACGTAAACCAGGCGAATTAAGAAAAAAATTATCAGCTGATTGAATAACACCACCTTATCTCACAATTTCACTTTAATCACAAAATTCACATATACAAAATGAAACCAGTTTGACATTAACAAAATGAAAACAAAGTTTGACATTTACAAAATGTAAACAAAGTTTGACATTAATTATACACCACGGCGAAAAATTAACATAATAGCAAAAAAGCGATCAGCTGTTCTGATAACACTACCTTATAATTAATATATCTTGGTTATTGTTTTATACCAATCGTGTAAACACATAAAATATAAATCATACGACTTTTGTTCTCTTTTTTGTCATACGAATGGAATTTTATATTACTTTTTCATTAGACTTAAGCATACTAAAGCGACACGGCCACACATCAAGTTTGTTTGACTCAAACGGTAAGTTTTTTGATTGGGTTAGTGAGTTTTTTACTAACACAATCAAAAAACTTACCGTTTAAGTCAAACAACTTGATGTGTTGCCAAGGCGCTTTAGCATATACTTTTAACAGTGGGAACCCATCAAAATACCACCACAGATTTTATTTGAAAAGTTATTTTCTTTTATTATTGTATTTCATTTACTAATTTATCATTTATTTTTGATTGAAATAGATTCTATTTTATTTTCATTGCGCTCTCATTTTTCTCTTATTTTCATGTTGTAGCATTGCCATATGTTCATAATATTTTGCTAAAAATCTTGCAAAATTCCAAAAACGGTTGTTACAATGCGCATTTTTCGCCATGCGTTATTATTAATTAATAGAATATATTAAATGAAAACAAGTTAGAGTGCTATATTCGGCTGAACCGAATCTTAAATAACCTCCACCAGCTACTTTCATAT